GGTGGAACTGAACTTGATTTGATTCATGGTGTTGAAATTAACTTGATCTTGTGAGGGGTGTGTGCCGTTAAGTGCTTATGTGTATTTTGCTTAATTCTAGTGAAATTCCAAGGATATAGTAGTTTTAAAACTTGGGTTTTGCTTAAACTTAAAGCTAAACTATACGTATTACCAGCTGCAATTAAGGAACTGTCAGTGTTGGTCTGTGGTTAATGTTTGTTGGATTATTGAAAACGCAAAATCACTGGATCTTTCCTAAAGAAATGTGACTATAGAAAGGCATTTCAGTTATGGGATTTTGCGGAATAGTATTTCTGAAGCTAGATAGTTGAGCAATTGAGCTAGTAGTTGGGACTAGGAAAGATCTGTTAAACATTTAGAAGAGAATATACATGGATGGACCAACAACAACAACATACCCGGTGTAATCCCACAAGTGGGGTGTTTGGGGAGGGTGGTGTATGCAGCCATACCCCTACCCTGTGAAGGTACAAAGGCATGTAGGAATAGACCAAATCTAATAATAATGGATAGAGGAATGATAAAGACTGCAAAGATGTCATTAGATTTTTCACTGTGCTGCAATTATTTGAAATTGGTTGGTCGTAGAATTGAGTGCAATTTATGTGCTTTCTTCAAGTCTGTGAAGTACTGCTATCTTTTAAGAAGATTGCCACTTGGTGATACGGTGATACCACTAAGCTATTGTTATATATAGTGGAATGGATTAGAGTGTAGTAGGTATCTTAGGCACACAATGGGATGACTCTTATCCACTGAATTGATTTCTGTCAGCTTGACACTAGTTTATCACCAGAATCCTTACCCTTCCTTATTTTACTCGAGTTATCTGGCATATGGAAATAGAGTGCACAAAAAAGCACACAATTATTTGTTATGTGAATACTGACTTAACTGGCTATAGGGTGTTAAAATTAGAGTCTTTCATTATCACTGAATCCAAACATCATTTCACAGTCCATTTTATTTGATTGCTTCTGCTTTGTCTCTTCAATTAACCATTTCACTTAACGTTACTACTATACAGTGTCGTACATGCCTTATCTTCCTCTACAGAGCCAGGCCCATTCCTATTGTTATGTTACCAAATGTTGGACCCCCCTCTGTTCTGTTATTTATGCTCAAGAGGTCCAGTTTTGGATGTGCAAGATTGTTAGAGAGTCCCGTATTGGTTGAAAATATGTACTGATTTCTCCTAAAAGATCTTAGACTGTCCTCCCTGTATAAGCTAATTTTTGGGGTTGATTTAGGCCCGAGATCCATTTTCTCAACAATTATCTGCTTTTCTCTAAGAGTGATGTTTACAATTAATTTCCTACTTCTTCTCTGTGTTCAGTCTTTCATAGGAAAGAGTCAGCTCAATGCTTACAGCATCCTAGAGTCGAGTGATGAATTTTCAACCTGACACGTAGAGCCAATAACTATGTTAAGTTATTAATATACGGTGCTCTGTAGGGCCTGTTGTTTAATTTTGGCTGGAGATGGCCACTAATGGTTGATATACCTACACTTTCTTATTCAGTAGGCAAACGATGTTAAATATGTCTCTTTACTAATAGATGATGCAATAAATAGTCTTATAAGCACTTCATTTTCCAAGATAGCGAGTGTTCCACTTGGCATATATATGATGTATAACATCTTTGTCGTATTGAGTTTGTCGAAGATGATAGTTTTGGTTTATTTTCAATATTGGAGGTTCCCTTTGGGAGCTTATTATAGAAAAAAATTAGAAAAATTTTCCATGTGAAATTTAAAATAAGATCAAATAGGTTCGCACATAATGGAATGCATAGAAGCCAAGTTTTCCCTAAGGGCGAGGGAATAGATGCAGTCCCTTTTATATAAGTCTTTGCTTGAGCTTATTTTACCTGATTGTAGAGATTTGTTTTGCGTTACACTTTCTTAATGTTTTCATTCCTTTTACTTGTATATCTAACTGAATGGAGCGGGGGCACTGTCTAAACTATGTTTGCGACATGAATGTGGCTGCATATTCTTGCAGAAACACTCACAAGTACCAAAATTTGGTGAGTGGGAAAGCGATGAAGATGTTCAATATACTACCTATTTTGAGAATGCTGCTAAGGGTAAGAAAGGAAGTAAAATGAATCCAAATGATCCTCAATATCTTGAGGCAAAAGTGAAAGGTGAAAATGGAACAGATACTGTACGACAGAAGCCGGAACGTATTGCCAGCAGAGATGATGTAGAATTGCGGAAATCAACTGGCTCTCCAATGCATCCAGACACCATGGGTCACAAAGTTCCAACTTACCCATCTCCACAACGACATGGTGCGAAATATGGAGGCAACAAGTCAGAATCAGAAACAATGAAGAGCACTGAAATCCTAACACCAAGGCATGAACGTCGGCCAAGCCGAGAAGAGGGTTACCTGAGGAAACCTACTGATTCCCCGTTGCGCAATGAGAACATGGGGAGAAGAACTCCTATGGAATCACCTCATCATCGCTATGGTGGCTTAAGTGGTGGTGCTACACCTAAGAGGGCCTCTCAGCAAAGTGTAGGACCTGATCGCAGCATTGAGCATTCCCCGCTGCATCCACATTCCCATGGAAGGCCTGGAGGCAAAGGTGGTGTTGTCTCCTCCCCCTCATGGGAAAGGAAGGCTTCATCTGAAGGTAGTCATGGTCTGGCTCCTTCTACACCTGGAAGATCCCGTTTGAGACCAGTTGCAAAAGGTGATGACACGGTAGGTCTTTTTGTCATTTTCTTTCCATCGACTTTCAGAACCAGTATGATTAGGACCCTTACCAAACTTACAAGAATGTAAAGAAAAGATGAAGTTGTTTCTTTTCTCTTTCCTAAATTAGTACGAGAGAACTTGAAGTGAGAACAAATAAAAAAACTTCTTTCTTTAACTATAAGAGCATAATAAAAGTGCATTTTCAGCCTGATGACAGCCCTGCTGTTCCTAAATTTGGTGACTGGGATGAGAATGATCCTGCATCAGCAGAAGGTTACACGCAAATCTTTAACAAAGTGCGAGAGGAGAAGCAGACTGGTTCAGCAAAAGTACCTTCCTCATCAACTGATACATCTTACTCCAACAGTCAAAAGCGATATGGAAATGACAGTGGAAAGGTAAATAACTTATTTGGTTTTCCGATATACTAACCCCCTCTCCAGGGACCAGCAGCGGCTTTTCCCATTTTCCTGTAGTGACTCTAACCCCCCAACCTCATTGTATGCAACTCATTTGTCTCAGACCAAGCTTCTGGTCAGTCTTTTCTTTCTAATAAAAAGCGCAGCCCGATGCACAAAGCATCCCATCTGATGTAGGCAGCAGAACAATTGTTTGTGAAACCTCTTTACTAATCGTTCTAGCAAAGTATTACTCATTTGTTCATAGACCGTTTTCTAATGTCTCCTTTTTGCTGTTCCTCGCAGGGTTGTTTATGTTTCCCATGGGGTCGAAGTTGACAATGCTGAGGATGAGACAAACAAAAAATGCAAATGGGCATGTACCCTATTTTAAAACATGAAACATTGGTTATGTATAGATTGTAGATCTCTTTAGTATATATGTTGTTCATTGTGTGCTTTAGACTTTAATATTTTGCTTTACAAACCAGAAAAAAGATTGAGAAAAGGGAAAGAAAAAAACAAAGAGAAAAATGACATTCTTCTTGTTCTGCCATCCATTAGTTGTTGGCTTTCTTCTTCATGGAGATTTATCTAAGTTATCTTTATATTTTGCATTGCTTTTTCAATCCCGAGCTCCCATCTTTTTGCTCTTTTGATGACTCGAACCAACAACCTTAGGGTTTGATCTCACCTTTTGTAGTACTTCTATCTAGTGAGTATATTTGTGAATGCAGTTTCATTTACTTCCATATTAATCAAGTGTAAGCTTCACATTAATTTTGAAATCTAGGCATCTAGCTTTTGTTCAATTGTTGCAAAAACATATCTACATTAAATGGAATTGTGGTATTCGATTAGAGTTTAAGCTAGAGTTTAAGCTATATGCATTGACGAGCGACGACGACGTAAATAATTATTTACACAATTAGATTACTTTTTAAAGGTATTTATAAGTAGTCCTTTACTTGGTAAGAAATGGTGGATTTACTACTATAACATGTTAAGAAACAAAAAAAAACTACACTTTCTAAATCCTACGAGATATATCTAGGCATTGTGTTAACTAATAAAAGTTATTTTTTTCTCGTTCAATCATCTGGTATCTGAAGTTCGTTAATTCGACTAGTAAGGATTTGTGCTATACAAGCCAATTCTTGGAAGAGGGAATAATGTGCTTCCTACCGAAAGATTCTCTATTCTCAATACTCGAACCTAAAACATATCAAGGACAGATGGATTGTGTTTGCTAATAAAAAGTTATTTTTTCGTTCAACCATCTGATATGTGAAGCCCATTAACCCTAACTAGCAAGCATTTGTGCTATATGACGAGAGAGTGAGATACTACACTTCCTAATGAAAGGTTCTCTATTCTCAACACTCGAACCTGAGACGTGTTAACGGTGGATGGATTAGCAAAAAGTAGCCAATGTACTCATACCACATAACAATAGTATGTGTTTAACAATTACTAGACAATATATCAATACATATTGTACTCATGTCCTACATACACAATGAAATTGTTTACTAAGAACATTTTTTCACATCCATTTCTCTTCTCACACCATTATTATACATCATTCAAAAGAAGCATTTCAAATCATGATTTACTCAAAGTCAACATAACACAAAGGAGGAAGCATCTCAATATACTGTCAAAAATCTTTGCCTTTTTTTTGGCCATAGCTTCACATAGAATTCTATTGTTTTTTTCTCCAAACAAGAAATGCTTCTATCTTCCATAATACAAAGTACAGATAACATACAACCCCTTTGTGAAGTTTTCTTCAAACTTCAATAATTTCTTTCGAGTTTTCGTTCGTCGCCTTACTTTCTATTTCCTTGTTTTTTGGAAGAAGAATAGCATTTGTTGATTGACTATTCCCCAAATCCTTGGTTTTGTGAAGGAGAAAAGTACCAGATAGGATAGTTACAAAGCCACACAGTTCTGTTATTATCTGTGTTGCAGTCTGATGATCCCAGTCCTGCATTCCCAAAAAAAACAATTGTCAAGTTTTGAACTTTTCGGCTTATCTTACTCAGACTCTCCGAAAATGTTGTTGCACCCGTATCAGATCCTTCAAAAATATACTACTTTTCGAGGATCCGACTACATAAGAATCTGAGAAACATAGCTTTTTTGAGATGAAATAAACACAACCAAGATAACAGTAAGACATGATGATTGTAGTATGAAATGATCATGATTATCTATGGAACTATAACAAAGGAGACAGAAAGTGGATAACGATTGATTCAAGTTCGAGCGCGATTGAAGATTTTTGCTTCCAGTATTACAGAAACTCGACATGATTGTAGTGACAAATGATTCATGTCGCGTATCTGTAAGCAGTTGATAAAACTAAAGAATGCTGAAAAGAGAATCAAGAAGTTGTTGAATTACCTTAAACATTATCATGCTGGCAAGTATGGTCAGTGTTGTAAACATGACGTAGTATACCGGAGAAACCACTGCAGTATTAAATGTGTCGAGTGCCTACAAAACACAATAGTTGAGTAGTACTTAATATTACGAAAATAATTTCCCCGACTCTTCAAAAATATCATCTGATGTGTGTCATATGACAGATCCGACATGGTAAAACTAAACAATTTCGTATATGGAACGCTTCAGGGGTCAATTGGACTGGAGAATTAGCTGCTCGTCGTTCAAACGAAAAATGAAGTTCAGTATATTATGGCTGAAGATATAAAAACTTCTAAATTCGCGCTTAAACACTTTTAGACTATTTTGTATGTAATTTCTCATTTTCATAGAAGGCACAAGATCACCTAAAGCAATGCTAACCTATGTTGCTCGGACTCTCCAAAAATAAGGATCAGATACACAACCATCGATATTTTTGACGAGTTCGAGCAACATAAAAGTTCATCAAAAGGCTCTCTAAGAGAATTAAACAAATACCTTGTTCAAATAGTTCAGCTGTAAAAGGCAAAAGATGATAACAAACACAGTAAACAACCATGTCTGGTAATATTTGAACTGATTCTTTCCTTCAAATGTGAGTTTAAGAGCGATTCCGACTGCTTTCACTCCCATGACCTGAGTAATCGTAATCACAAGACAAAACACGAGCGATAAGCATAGGAAAGAACCATGAACTACTGCAGGTGCAAGTACATAAAAAGGGAGAACATACTGACCGTGAGAGACCCCGTGAGAGAACAGATTCCGATGTAAATGACCATATACCTCTGCCCGTATTTAGGCACAAACCGGAAAATAAGGACAAGCACAGCCACCACGACTACACATGTGTATATAATGAATCCTGTTCTTCTCAAAAACACATTCGTTAAGCAATGTTCCAACTTAAAGGATTTCACAATCTAGGGAAACGCCAGCGCTTGTAAAGGCAACATTTACCACCCTTACTTCTCTACAACAACAAATCCGCTTCTATCCTAAGCAAGTTGGGGTCGGTAATATGAACTTTCACTGAAAATGAAAGAATGTAACTGATATTGCTTTTTGGAAATACCTGCTTCTGATGCTAGGTGCCAAACGTCCATGACGGATTCAATTTTCCTTTCCAGAGGAGCATGTAAGACAATACTAATAGAGCCAACCAAGCAGAGGACACAACCAACAATCCCAAACATATGCAGTCTTTCCTTCAAAATAAAATGGGCTAACACTGCGCTGCAAAGGAAAACTATATGAGTTTTGAAACTAAAATGAGCTTTTCCGAGTCATATTTTACCCTAATAATGCTACATGATTACATACCTCACAATTATACTTAAAGCCCCCAGAGGAGTCACAAGAATTGCAGGGGCATACGCATAAGCAGCAAAGTTAGCTCCCTCTCCAACGATCACTGCAAGCATACGTTAGTTTAGGATTACATAAAACTGTATCAGTAATGAACTAGAGACTCAAATAGAGATCAGAAGCAAGACTCGGCAATGAGAAGGCAGAACCGAGGTGCTACACTAAACTAGGCGTTACGTGAGAACTTGAAATGTCTTAGGCTTACTCATAGGGTTAACACGACCTATGGATGGGGAAAGCAAGCGAACTAACTATGCATCGGAAAGCAAGCTGTGGCCAATAGGCTATCCATTCAAGTTACTAAACATGTCGGTGTTATAACAGAGGTAGAATTACTAGTTAATCTATCAAGTGACAAGCATAATAAGAATTCTAGCACCTCCATCGAACTACGTTCAAGAAACTGCATATTTTCCAGGAGCATCATAAAGAACAATCGTAGGTAAACAAGATACTGACGTCTTTTACGTACGCTGTGCTTGATCATTATTAAGCGTAGAGATGTCAGCATAAAGTGAAAAAGAAACACATAAAACTAACATACATTTAAGTTTGAGTTATGACTCTTACTAGTTAACATCCCGGCCCACCACATTGGTTCCAACAGATACGAGTGTCCTCCTGAACCTGTTAAAAAATTAAAACACACGTATAAATCTTGATAACAGAACTCGTTTATCTTAGCATCAATTAGAAACAATAGAAGAACATAACAAGCAAGATATTGAATCCTATACAACCATATCGACATATGTTCAAACTCCCCACGAAAACAGAAACCAAGTCATTTCTTCCCAATTAAGTCATTTTTATACCACAAAGACTTAAGAGCTCTTCAAGTCGAATATATATACTATATGTTTAATCCCCTTTGCTTTTTTTTTCCGTGCGTACTTTATATTTTATAATTCCTTTAGTGAAAATCTTGACTCAACAACAGTATTCTACATGGCATGAACTCTACATACAAGTATTTAAACGATTATAAAGCAAGAGGAAGAATACAACATGTTGCATACGCATATTAGGAACACAAGAAAAAGGAATCAATTCCGAGTCTCTAAGGACAAATTACATGTCCCTGAAGGGGCATCATACAACACCACTTCACCTTATACAAGGGGTGTCGTATGACACCACTTCGCCATTAATTCACACACATACACACCTCTAATAGACCGAAAATCGCTTGAAATAATACAAAGTAAACATCAGTAAAAACCTTAGAACTTCTATATACGGGCCCACAACTAAACCTTCATATAAGCTAAGAATTGTGATAATAAGCCGATACTGCTTGCACAAAATGTTACATCACACAACTATCTAAACTTGATGCACGTAGACTATACGATCCGATTGTATCAACATAAGCAAAACAAAAATCAACATTTATACAACGGGTGTCATATAACACTACTTCACCTTTAATTCACACGTGCGCGCACGTCTAGCAGCTTGAAATTGAAATAATCTTTAAATAATGCAAAATAAACACCATTAAAACCTTAGAACTTCTACACATGGTCCCCACATCTAAACCTACATACAAATTGAGTTGTGACAATAAATCGACACTGCTTGCATAAAATGTTACCCCTAACCCGATCGAAATCAACAAAAACAATAATAAACTCAACATTTACACATCAAACTAATACCAAAAAAATTAAAAAGTTGCAAAGGGTTTACTTAAAAAAAGTTAATTTAACCAAATAATTAATCAAAAGACTTAATTTTTTTACCTGCCCTGGTTCCTCCTGTTGCACCTGCCTTTTTTAGGCCTTTTTTCTTAATAATAAAACTTGCTCCAATA